TGTGTGTGTGTGTGTGTGTGTGTGTGTGTGTAACTCCTCTGAGCTGAGGGTGGGAGCACCCTTACCCAGTCCATCTGTACCAAGAGAAGTCAAGAGGTGGATTCTCAAGGGAACTCAGGACACTGTGACCAGAAGCAGATGAGCCGGTGATGGGCTGAGAAGACCACCAGGTGTCTGGCATCGACTTAATTGCAGTGAGGCAAGACAGGCATTTTCTGCCTGGTGGGCTTTCTAAGGTCCTAGCGGAGTGGGCAGGCGTCTCTTGGTTTGGGGCTTCCTCATTGTTTTACCGGTGCAATGGATCGGGAGGTACAGTTGGGGGATGGGGAGACCCAGTGAGCTCTATGAAGTGCTGGGGTTATGGTGTTCCTCCCAGTGTCCTGGAAGGAAAGAGCAGGCAGTCAGAGGTCATGAACATGGGGACTGTTGACACGCTCTGTAGTTAGGCAAGGGCCAGTGGTGCCTTCAGCGTCCGGCCTGAGCAACAAGAAGGAAGGGAGTCACTAGTGGGATTTGGAGTGATGGAAGGGGGTCTAAGAGACTGAGCTTGACCTGGGAGAAGAGCGGTCACTTCCTGCCTCAGGCAAGGTTGGAAGGAAACCAGAGAATGCATATCGCAGCCCCTCTGTTCCCTTTTTCCATGCTCACACCTGCACATCCCATTGGCTAGCCCGTGGCAGAGTGTGAGCCCAGGTGATGTAGTTCCAGGGCAAGGCCAAGGGCAGAGAGTGGAGAGGCGCCAGTGAGGCCCGACTGTCCTGTGAGATTTGCTGTTTTGGAAGAAAAGACACTTGGCTTGTGATCAGTGGTGCTGGGAGTGGGAGTTTAGTCAGCGTCTCTGGCTAAATTCTGATTTATTCTCCTGCTTTTGGAAATGTAATAATCTCTCCATCAAAGCTCTATCTATCTGCCAAAATAATGCATGTCCTTTTGTACAAACGAAAGAATTACAGCTATTATGCAAACACTGAAAGGGGACCACATTTGCATGCAGAGAGGAGAAAAAGAAAAATCCTATTTGCAATGAAATTAATGATACCAACGTGGCAAAGAGACGTATGGGCACCCATTTAACACTTGGACAGGAACAGAACGAAGTTTCCTTGCCAACCCTGATGAAGTAATGGGGCCAAAAAGAAAATACTCTGAAATAGAGGCCTGGCTGGAATAAACCGGAATTGGGAATTTCTGGCCATTTGAAGACACCCTCGTCCCAACAAAAGATGGAAATAAAGGTTCTTACACAGACTAAGCATGAATATTAATGTTCTAGATCTGGTGCCTGCACCAAGTTCCTCATTAAGATGGGCATCGTCAGAGAGCTGTGAGCAGGCAGGATCTGGGCTGCTGGGTGGCCTGAGGAGGATGCGCTTTGCATCTGAAATGAGAAGGCAGGTAGATGGGAGAGGCTTAGAATATGTTTGAGTTCTGTTACACGGTGATGCATGATCACCAGGAAATAGGAGCCCGATGGATAAAGAGAATGAATCATTTATTCTGAAGAGGAAAGCTAAAGTGTCCCTGGAGGATATTCCATTCCTAAGAGGCTCCCCTGCATGCCAGTCCTCAGGTCATTGGAACACTCCCTGGGCATCTGGGGTCAGGACTGAGTGCACCCCATGTAGTCTCTTCTATCATCAGTGCTCAGCACAGAACAGGCACACTTGGGGCATGTTGGATTGAGGGCCTGGGGAAATGGCTCTGTGGGTAAAGTGTAAGCATGAGGACCTGAGTTTGGATCCTTAGAACTCACATAAAGTGGATATTTTAGTAGTCCTACAGTGAGGTGGGAGTCTGAGACAAGAGGATCTTGATTGCTTAGACCATCCAGGGCTGACTTAAGCAGTGGTGAACACCACAAGATCCTGTTTCAAACAGGGTAGAAGGTGAGGATGGACACGAAGACTTTTCTCTGACTTCCTCAGGTGCACCATGGCATGTATGTGCCTGTAGATGGACACATATGCACACACTATAAATAAAAAGCTTAAAAAATGTTGAGGAACTAGAGGGATGGTTCAGTGGTTAAGAGCACTGGCTGTTCTTCCAGAGGACTTGGGTTCAGTTCCCTGCACCTACATGGCAGCTCAAAACTGTCAGTAACTCCAGCCACAGGGAATATAACACCCTCTTCAGGCCTCCTGGGCACCAGGCATGCACACAGTGCACAGACATACATGTAGGCAGCACATCTATACATACAAAATATTTTTAAAAATTAAAAACATTGAATTGAGAGATACAATAATCAATGAATCATGGAACTCTAGTGTCCCAAGTAGCTACAGAGATAACCAATTATAATGGTTCTGAATGAATACATGTACCTAGGATGGGAAGTTGGGCAGGGGTGACTTGGAGAAGGATAAGGACGGTGAGGTCTATTTGGCTATCAATCAATCCATTCACTTCTCCAGTCCCACAGCTTACATAGGTACTAAGATCCAGCCAGAGAGATTTTTGTTTTTGTTTTTGAAGCAATGTCTAGCTATTTATTCCAGAATGGCCTCAAACTTACAATCCTCCTGCTCCAGCCTCCTCTGGAATTCTGGGATCACAGGTATGCACCATACTTAGCTTGGGAACTTTATATTTTTAGATGCTCCTGAGGTGACATCCCCCTTACCAGCTGGAAAACCTTGCCCAATGCCCACAGCCCACTCACCCCCCAGTCCTTCCTGCTCCCATAGCTCAGCTGAAAACAGCTGCTCTTCATAGTTGCTTAGCAAGTGAAGTCCCAGGACTGCTCAGAAGTCATAGTGATGGTTTGTCTCCCAGGGCCCCACAGCCAGGCCATGCAGGATTGCTCCAGAGGAAATGGTGATGGACTTTCCTCAACCTCTGCTTCTCCAGCTCAGAATCAGGGTAAGGACTGGCAGATGACCTAGGTCAGGACTTGTTGGAGACAGGATGTCATTAGATGGTGAGACCAGCCCCTGGAACAAGTGTTGGGATTCCCTGGCACTTCCCCCACAAGTATGAAAAAGGATGCACGCTCAATGTGATTAGAATAAAATTGGCCCCCATAGGCTCATATATTTAAATGCTTGGTCAGTAGGGAATGGTACTATAAGGTGTGTCATTGTTGGGGTAAGTATGGCCTTGCTGGAGGAAGTGTGTCACTAGGGGTGGGCTTTTGAGGTTTAAAATGCTCAAGCCAGGCCCAGTGTCTCTTGTTCTCTTCCTGCTGCCTTCAGATCTGGATATAGAACTCTTAGTTACCTCTCCAGAACCATGCCTGACTGAGTGTTGCCATGCTTCCTGCCATGATGACAATAGACTAAACCTCTGAATGTAAGTCAGCCCCAATTAAATGTTTTCCTTCATAAGAGTTGCCCTGATCATGGTGTCTCTTCACAGCAATAGAAACCCCAACTAAGACACTCACCTTCCCAGGTTGAGTCAGATTCCATGTGCCTCTGTGGAGGCAAACAGAGCTTCTATTCTAGAAGCTTTCCCACTCCCGCTCTCACCAGGATTCCACAGTCTCTACACAGGAATTACCCTCATGATCATAGAATGTACTGGACTAAAAGACTGCCTTTCACCTCCTCCTCATCTGTAAAGCCAACAGTACACTGAGCTTACTATTTTCCAGCTTAAGTAGGGTAGGATATGGAATCATTAGAAGCATAGATACTGTGAGTATACAAACCTAAATGGTATGGAAAACACACACACAACACACACACCACACACACACACACACACACACACACACACACACACACACACACACACAGAATGGTTGGATTCTGGAGCCAGATAGTGTGAGTTGAAATACATCCTATCACGTACTAGTTATGTAACATTTGGGAAATCAGTTTTCTGTGCCTTGGCTTCTTCATCTGAGAAATGAGATAACACCCTTGACTTCATGAGGTTGGTATAAGGATCAGTGAGGTACTCTATGCAAAATTCCTAGAACAGTTGCATACAGCAAGCACCAACTAATGCAACCTCTTATTAGCCTATCAAAGATGGTAGGCCTCAGGAGAGATGTGGCAGGTGGTAACTGTTCCTGCTTATTACAAGGCTGTGCACTGTTTAATAGCTGAAGATTGAAAACTGAAGCTGTCTTAGTTGTACGACTCTGGGTCAGGCAGAGTCTCTTTGAGAAAGGATGGCGTGTTTCCATAGGCATGTTGCTAATATATATTAGTGTGATTTTTCATTTCTTGAATCACAGAATCTTGAGCACTGGGAAAGAGCTTACAATTCATCTTGGTCTGAATAGAGAAGGAACTGACTTGCTCAAGGTTGCCCAGCTATCCGTGGCCTGGCCTCTAATTGCTAGGGCAGCATTCTGCCTGCTCATCACCATAGTTACTGTAACAGAGTGCCTGGTGATATATTTTATATCCACATCTGTAATGTACAGAGTTATATCCACATGCACAGGCATTGAGGTAGACAGCATGTTGGGCCTGTGAGGAGCCACAGGCATTTCATTGCTATGCACCTTGTTTTCTTCTTTGAAGGGAGGTGGGGAGGCTGTGTCCATGCAGCGGGCTCCTACCTACAACCAACAGAAAGAGCTTGGGTGGATCTGAGCCATCAAGAATTCAAAAGAAGGTTACCAGGCAGCTGGGAAAGCATGGGGAGCAGGTGAACCAGGCTTGGGAAATCCCAGCCAAGGTGAGACAGTCGTGAGGACACTGCGGGGGAGGGGGGGATGGTGGGGGAAGCTGTTCTCCAGACATGCACAAAGCTGCTGCCACTGGGCTCTGACCCTTTGTGGCTTGGCTGCTCTGAGCGCTGTCCATCCCCTGCATCTTTGCTTCACTCTTATTGGTTCAGAGCTTCAGCACAAGTATCCCAGGAGCTGAGCTGGGTCAGACACCTAAGAGCCAGGGTGATGGGAGTGGAGGTGATGGTGGGATGTAGAGATAAGGTACCCAAGAACAACCAAGAACTACAGAGGAGAATCTGTCCCTTTGTGTCCTCTCTAGATAGGACAGTGTTTGAATGCTGGGTAATTAAAAAAAAGTGAGAAAGGTTTATGGCCAGCAGGAAAGTTCTGAATTGGCCTATGGCCAACTGCCCAGCCTTCACACCTTCCTGGAGTCTGCACCTGTGCTCTGCCTGCCTTCTTCATTCCCTGAGAGAGGAGAGAAGATGGACCGAGCGAGACCACGGGGTCAAAAGATTTCCCCCTTCTGTTCATCTCTGTCACTAGCAGGGCATCCCTGAAGACCCCGAGTGTCTTCTATATGCTTACTATTGTTTTCTTGTGATAAAGGCCGCATTACATAAAAGTCACCATTCTGGCCATTTTAGAGTGTGTTATTCAGTGCCACTTAGTAGACTCACTGTGTCTTGTGACCATTGCCACTGTGCCATTCCAGAATGCTTCTGTCACCCTAAAACAAAACCTGCGCCCCAAAGCACTTGCTTGCTGCTGGAGCTCCTGGAAGCAAATCTTCTGCATTCTGTCTCTATAGATCGGCCTGTTCTAGAAATGTCACACAAATGCAACAGGACACGAAACTGCCTTACCATTGTGTCCCCTCCCTCACCCGTCTCTTCTCCATTTGGCATCTCACACAGCAAAGGTCAGGGAGTTAGTCTGGTTCCTAGGCCCTTCCCTGAGGCTCACAGGTGGGAGGGGAGGCGGTGAAGCCAACAGGAGACTAAGGAAATCCCCAGACAGGGAAGGGAATGACTCAGTCAGTAAAGTGCTTGCCTTGCAAACATGAGGAACCCGGTTAGATCCCCAGAACTCAAGTTAAGAAACATTGTAGTGTGCACTCCTGGCCCCGAGGAGGTGGAGAGGGGCTGATCCCTCAGGGCTTGTTAGCCAGTGAGAGAAAAGGCAGATGGCACCTGAGGGATGACACCCAAGGTTGTCTGTACTCCAGCCCAACACACATGTGCAAACACCCTCCCTTCCAAAAGAATCCCTGGACAGAGGACTAAGTGGGGGTCTGATTAATCACAGAGCAGGAGGTGGCTTGTGGGAAATTCCAAGTGAGTTTTACCAGAATGGCGGTAGGTCAGGGTGGATGGGAACAACATCAAAACACGTTCAGGCTGTACCACTGGCCTCTGCATGCCCTGCCTTCTCCATTCTGTCCTCCAGCATGGAGGGAGGACACTGAGGAAGTACCTGGTCCTCTGAGGCTCAGGCAGTGAGCAGGTGCACCATAGGACCTTCCTTTCCCTGCGGCCTCCCAACAGCTTAACTAGAAAGAACACAGGTTGGGGGCTGTACCAGCAGCCAAGACAGTAATATTAGCCAGGGTGACAGGACATTGCAGAGACCCCGGCGTACAACAGCTTAAAGAAGCTGTAGGTGTGGGCTGGAGAGATGGCTCAGCATTTAAGACTACTTGTTGCTCCTGGGGAGGATCCAGGTTTGATTCCAGCACTTATATGGTGGCTTCTATCTTCCATACCACCAACTCCAAGGGATCCAATAACCTCTTCTGACCTCTGTGGGCACCAGACATTCACGTGGTGAACATACATGTACACAGGCAAAACAGTCATACACGTACAACAAACAAACAATTAAGAAACTCTGCCAGGTACTTGTTTCTCATTGGACAGTTCCCTGGAGTGAGTTGGGCTGGCAGGCAGCTCTGCCTGCCACTGTTACCCAGGCTTCAAAGCCGACAGAGTCAGTCTCTTTATCTTCAGTAGAAGGTCTCTGAGGGGTTGCCTGGGAGGCTCAGCTGGTGGGCTATGAAGTGGTCCTGTACCAGGCAAGGCTGAGCTCACCAGAGGGAGGCTGCGTCACTTCTGCAGCTACAGCCAGTCTCCTCCAGGTCAGCTCTCCTCTGACATTCAGGCATGGAAGGTCTCAGGTGGGGGTCCTTGAGTTCTGACACCACCTCCCTGGCCCTACCGGATATCAGCAACTCAGTGTCTAGGGATAGCCCTCGCAGGGATCTCTGCAATGTCCTCAACCAGCACCCAGATGTGTAGGGACAATGGTCTGGCTGAGGTACTTGGTAGAGAAAAAGGTAAATTTAGAGAAAATGGTAAAGGAGGAAAGCCATGATTATTAGCTCTGGACTCATGGCAAGTGACTGGAAACCATTGCCACCATACTTCCCTATCTACACACTCCTTTATGTCTGCTTTATAGAAAGAATACTGCTGGTAGCCAACTTTGACATTTAGGTTCCAGCTCGGCCACCTGAAATGGCACTGTGCTTGGGATGCTTGCATCTGCCTGAGCATGGGGTAAGGTTTTCACCTTAAACAAAAACAAAGCTGGAAGCCAAAGGCATATAGAGTGGGCTGGACTGACCACGCAGGGTCAGCTCCTGTATTGATCTTTTCCTCCTCTGCTCATGCTTTTTCTGGGCAGCTGACCCCATCGGCTCAGCCATTTGGACTTTTGTGAGGGTGAACTTTCCATTCATATCAGCCAACCACAGGCTGAGGCTGGGTCTTGCTCATCTCTTCTTCCTCTGGGAGGGGATGGATCTACACCTTTGCTGGTTACTCAGGGCCTTGTCTCTCCTGCCCAGGCCTCTGTAAGCGGTCTGTCATTGAAGTTTCTTCATTTGGGTCATATGGGGGCAAACTGTTCCCTATGGAACCAGATCTTCCCCACCCCGAACTCCCGAACAACTCTAGCAAAGGGGCACTGAGTGTCCCACTTGTTGCAGGGCATGAAGACCGTCTTTGGCATCCAATGACTCAAAACTGGGCTGAGGACCTGCCATTTCCAGGAATCATGTGAGGCCAGAACAGAGGACAGGAACCAGCTCTGTGCTCCTGTTTCTCTATTTCAAGGAAAGCAGCCAGCAGTCATTCCACCTTACCTCAGAACATGATCCAGGTGTCACTGCACAACACCTCTCAGGACCCCCCTCCCCCATGCTTCAGACATGGGCACCAATGATGACTGCATGTCCACATGCATTATTTTACCCCCCCCCCCCCCCCCCCGCTTCAGACATGGGCACCAATGATGACTGCATGTCCACATGCATTATTTTAGCAGGGCTGGAATCCAGGGGCCAGGAGGGAGAAACTAGTGTGGTTTGTCAGACAATTTATACCAACCTCAGGCTTCCGTGGAACTTAATCCCTTTAATTAAGTGACTGTTGGCCGCTAAATAACCATCCACAGTCTCTTTCCTCTGTGTCCTGTTGATATTGATAAACTAATGTGTGCTCTGGAGTTACTGGCTAATACATTATCACTTCTAGTCTCTGAAGGTGGCCAGTGCTGGGAGCGCAGATGTGAAAGGATGCTGGCCAGGTTAAGTGTAGGGTTCAGAGCTCAGATCTCATGGCTTGGGCCAAACAGTTTGAGTGGAAGGGGTCAGAATCCAAGTAAAAGCTCCAAAGCCTTGACTCAGTTTCCTGTTGGACATTCTACTAACTCACATGGCAAGGAAAAGGAATAAAATGACTTTAACAAGATACAGAACCAGACTAGGTGCCTAGCAAGGATGAGCGGATAAAGAAAAGGTAGTGTGTATACACTATGGAGTTTAACTTAGCATAAAGAAAGATGCAATTATGGCATTTGCAGGAAAGGGGATGGACCTGGAGATCATGACGTTAAGTGAACTAAGTCAGACTCATAAAGCCAAGTATCACATTTCTCTCGTTAGTTAATATGTTCATACTTTCTGTATATGCAACATCCGAACGTAGAAAGGAGACTGTGGAGGGAAGAAAGTGTCTAGAAGGAGTCAGGGGGCAATAAGGGAAGACAATGGGGAGACAAACTCTGCAACATTGCATGCTGTGTCTGTGTGGACTCTAGATTCAAATCTATCTATCTATATCTATCTATCTATCTATCTATCTATCTATCTATCTATCTATCTATCTATCATCTGTCTATCTATCTATCTATCTATCTATCTATCTATCTATCTATCTATCTATCCATCCATCCATCCATCTATGTATCTATTATCTATCTATCTGTTTATCTAATCTATCATCTATCTCTGATTATTATCTATCTATAGATAATAGATGATAGACACATCTACTTTCTACCAAGTCTATAATGTCTTTATTATCTACCTCTTCTATCTGTCTGTCTATCTATCTATCTGACCTGAAGTCATAAGAGGGACCATTCAAGGGTAGAATGCAGAGCAAGAGAGAAGAAGGGAGACAAGGCAGGATAATGGGGGGGGCAAATATCCAAAGTACAATGATATATATATATATATATATATATATATATATATATATATATATATATCTGAAAAAAGCATAACAAAGCCCTAAAACTATAAAATTAAAAAGCAATAATTAAAAAATTGCTTTTTAAGATTGAGACTGGGAAGATGGCTCTGGGGTTAAGAGCACTTATTGCTCTTATAGAAGACCTAGGTTTGATTCCTAGCACCCACATAGTGGTTCACAACCAACTGTAACTCTAGTTCCAGGGAAACTGATGCCCTCTTCTGACCTCTCCAGGCACACACATGGTATACACAAATACATACAGGCAAAACACTCATACACATAAAATAAAATAAATCTTAAAAGTTTTTAAATGGCTTTAAGACAGTCAGACCCAATTCCTGAAATTTGAGATGAGGTGAATAACAGCAAAATCATGTGGGTCATGGTCTCAGTTCCCAGCACCCACGTAGCAGCTTGCAACTGTCTGTAACTTCAAGGGCTTCAGCCACACATGGTGCACATATACACATCTAGTTAAACACTCATATACATAAAAATAAAAATAAATAAATCTAAAAAAAAAAACTATATGAGGGAGGGCTAAAGAGATGGCTCCATAGTTAAGAGTACTGCTGTTCTTACGGAAGACTGGTTCATTTTAATTCCCAGCACCCACATGGCGGTTCACAACTGCCTGCAACTCTAGTTCCAAGGGATCTGACACTGTTTTCTGGTCTCTGAGGGCTGCTGTACACACATGATATCCATGAACCCACTCTCTCTCTCCCTTCCTCTTTTTCCTTCCCCCACCTCTCTCTCTCTCTCTCTCTCTCTCTCTCTCTCTCTCTCTCTCTCACACACACACACACACACACACACACACACACACACACACACAAATAATTAAAGAAAAATTGCATGGGTTAGAATAAAGATGAATGTTCAAATAAATTCTGCAGTTCTAGTGAAGGGAGAGTAGAGCCATGGATATCAGGAAGACCAACAAGAGATGTTTGAGGGCAACAACTTACCCCAGGTCAAGCATCTGGTGACAGAGGAGGGAGCTTAGAAGGCAGCTCTCTTCAGTGAGAATTTGCATACGGGCCAGTTGAGGTTCCTGTTCACACAGACACCTCTGT